ACAGAATATTCAACCCAAGAATGACTTTCATACCAGCTTGGCTGAAAGCTGTGTCTTCTGTCTCCTATTAATGTCACTGCAAATGTCGTCAAATGAGGCCTGCAGGTCTTCTGTTTATGAGCAAAGCGCTGAGAATCTGCTTGTTGTGAGTGCTAAACGTTATTTTGCCACATCCGTGTGGAGTGGTAGGGAAACAAATTTCAAACACGAACCAAGTCTGGTTACCGAACTGAGCAGAAATCTGATGGCGTCACACCACTGAGTAGGTGGGTCATCCTTGCACTTGCTGATATCTGAAAGAAAATAAATGTTAGCATGAGGATAAAAGTCTTATTTTATCTATTTATTAAATATAAACAACAGAAATGTTGGTCCAGAGTCAGCATGCCTCAAATGCATTTTACACACAATATGAGCTGCAATCACAGAGGGTTTGTTCAACACCCACAAACCTGACGGTAGTGTACACGGTGCACGACAGAAGATGTCCCTCTTTTTGCTCCTCACTCTCTCCCTCACAGCCTACATCTTCCTCCTCACTCCCAGGGTGGACAGCCTCTGACCTCTCTGGTTCCTCTCCAACCAACTCCTCCTTCTCTTTCATCCTGCTTCTCAGCTCCCTCGTGAATTTCATCCTCTATCTGTCTACGCTGTTCTTTACTAACAGCGGTAAAAAAGGACAAAATGTCCCTTTTTCTTTTCATGGCCGCTGATGCTTCCAGTCAGTGCTGCGAGAAAGTCATAGATAAATGAATACTGTGATCCAATCTCAACATGTCTAAGGCTTAAAGTGCAGCAACTTCATTTTTATTTTACAGTTAATGTTACAAAGGAAAAACAAATCAGTATTAACTGTGGATAGACTCAGTTAGGAACTTAAAAGTAAATGACAGATACGCGCAACTACGATCAAAACATTGATGTCAGGAAAATAAACTGTATTGCTTACCTTCGTCTCTTAGCATCTTTTCCGTTTGGCGCCCTCAAGAACTTCTTTGGGTCCCATTTAAACTATTTTTAATCTTGTATTCAAAAATCCACCTCGTAAACAGTTCTGTCCACAGAGTGTGCTGCGCTTTAAATGCTCCGTGTGAAACGCTACTCGACGCTACTGCCCCCGTAACCCGACTCCGGATAGAGGATGAAAATGGATGGATGGACAAATAACAGATTTACTTGTAAGAAGTTTAAATAGAGTGCTGTGCTGTTTGAATGTATAAACTGAACACCAAGAGAAATCACTAGTTTGATTTTTTTCTGTGAATAAAATAAATATGTCAGGCAGGAGCGTCTCAGGATCTGTCTGAGATCTGTCTCGGTGAGACAGATAATAGCAATCCAAAGTGCTTTTTATGTGTGATCTGACAATTGATCAACCATTGCTTAAAAATTACGGCAGCACACAGAACTCACGAGGCAACGTTTTACGTGATGTTTACTTGTTGCTATGATTAATAAGACAGAAAAAGCCATGCCAAAATAAGTTTAGGAAGCCCACTAAGAATCGTAATAAAAGCATTTAAAATAAATACCATACACAGTTGAGGAAATGTTGGTTCAAGTACCTGATATGAAGTGGTCGCTGCATAAGCGAAAACCTTTACTCTCGGGATCCCACAGCTTCATTTTAAATAAGCCCGGTCACTAGCGCATTTTACTACAATGATCCAATGTTTGCGGCGCTCCGGATCTTGGGGAATCCTGTAGATGGCTCTGCATCCTGGGGCACAACAGGGATCTACCATATTTCTTGTTTGATTGAGTTTTCTGACAATAACAAATAGTCCAGCTGCGGGCTTCTGCCTGCCAATATGGCGCCGTTTTGATTTGAACTGTTGCATGCCGGGAGAAGTGACGTCAACTCCCGGAGCTCTATAGGAGCTAGTTTAAGGGCTGCGACTTGACTCATAGAATCTGGGTGTTGAACAAAGATTTCGATTCCAGACCTGTATAATTATGAGAAAGCAGTTCTCGATTACATCTCCATCTGTGTGTGTATGGAGAGGCCAAAGAAAGGCCATGTGTGTGTGTGAGTGACTCCTGACCTCCTGATGTCGTAAATAATGGATGTGCCTTCACTACTCTGCTATGTTTAGGTAATGTATGTTGTAGATATAGCCTTTACTGATCTCTGTGGATTTAGTCCACGATGCTATAAAGATACAGAGGAGACATCGAGTCTAGGAGATGTTTATGGTTGGCTTAGTGAACCCCTGGGTTGGAGAAGAAAAGGGAGGGGGACACACCTCCCCCTGCTTACTGATGACAACAAGAAAGAAATGAGGTAATGCCTAAAGAACACCAAGATGAGTCGGCAAGAGACGCTGGGAGGAGTTACAAGTGGACCGGACAGAGTGCTTCATGAAGCAGGAAGAGTTGCCATGGAGATGAATAGGAGACAAGAAGGAGGGGGAAGTGGAGAGATAAAAAGGGGGGCCCGGGAGGGACCGAGAGTTCTGTGCAAGTTCTGAGAGTTCGGTTGAGCTCTGTGTAATTTACCCACTGCGTTGGGGTGATTCTGTCTGGATTATTCTTTTTTCATCCTTTTTGAATAAAAACCTTGGTTTCTTATTGTAAGAAACTGTTACAAACCCTGAAGTTGTTTAGGCGTTGTGGTAGAGGGGTAACATAAAAACTGGTGTGGAGACAGGGGGGAGTGTAAATAAAATGTATTTTTATTAATAAAGGGCAAACACAATCACCCAGTCCTTGACTGGAAAACACAATACAAAACGCAAAATATACTTGGATATAACTAACGAAGGCAACGGAGAAAACTCAAAACACCTGAGACAAATGGTCACAGGGATGTAAACACGAGAATATCAGTACTAACAAACAAAAGAAAAATGCCAGAACTAACTAACTAAAACAAATCTCGACAACTATCTCTATTCTAAATATTATTGCTACTAACAAAACTTAAAGCGAGTTCTAAAGCGGAAAAACAAACTGAAATTCAAGCACTAGGGCACACAGAACTGGATCACTAAACAAAAACGACTAATAATTACTCGATGGTTACACAAAAGTAACGATCTATCTTAACTATCGCGCTTATCCAAATTCTTTACCGAATTTTACCAAATCTGAACCATATGTCACAAAGATCAAAACAGAGGAGAGAAAGACAGGGTGTTAAGGTGTGAGTCTCTCCATGAGAACTGAAGCTGCAGTCTTTTAAAACATCTGTCCTCATTAGTTAATGGTATGAAGCCGGGACAGCGAAGGTGGGCAGAAGTGGAGGCCAGCCTGACGAAGGACCTGTCCAAGGTCCTGAACAGCTTGGAGGGAGCAGGACTGGGCCATTCAAGGTGCGGGAGCCCAGGATCCGTAACAGAAACTAAAAGGACAACTGTGTCTGGGGGCCTCCATTGGTGTCGGGTAACCGGAAAAGGTGAGGTGCTGGTTACTTTTTATCCCACTCCAAGAGGTTTAGACAAGTCATTTTAAAGTCCTCAACCTGAGCATACATAAGCCACAGGTGACTGAAGGTGTGTTTGGGTCAGAACTGAGTCTTCCTTTGAGCTGCAAGCAGTTTGTGTTGCCAGGATCAGAGTCTAGGTTAATGGTGATTGCTAATTAGCTCCTACAGTGTGCAGGCAGTTTAAAGAGTGACTGAATATCACGCCCGCGCACAAATAGAAATACAAGTCAACCCTGAGACGCAACATCTGAGTTAAGAGTTAAGCTAGCTTGGGAAGATGGCTTGTAACACTGGGGTTACAATACGTAACCAACGTATGGCTGTGTCAGCTGGCAGTGTGCGAACAGGTTTGACTGTGTGTCAAAGAGCAAGGTGTCTCAAGGAGGCTGGTGCCGAATTGGCCACTTCGGAGTTCCGCTCGAAACTGAGTAACTCGAGAAGTCACTCTAGTTTTAATAATCTAGAGTTTATCATTTCTGCGAATCAGAATTTGACATGTAGGCGTTACCAAACATCGCTCAGAAAACTACACCTTCCAGTTACAAGCTGTTCTAATGAGGACAAAGAATCTTTAAACTTTATATGAGATGACCTTTACCTTAATTTGCATCTAATGCACATTGTGTATGAGTGTAGATAATGATTAAAGGAAACAAAACTGATCATACGCTATAAATGGATCAAGCACAACAATATTAATTTCAACTTCATTTAATTAGGCACAGATTATTCAAACATTATTAATATTATTCATATAACATCTGGTTCATTCAACCATGTTATTATAACTGATTATTTAACTTATGAGTTGTAAAAGTTCACTTTTCATTCAGAGTGAGGAATCCAGCAGTCTGAGATAAGTTTGACAATCTTGTCTTCATGGACTGTCAAAAAGTACAGCAGAACCTTCTGGGTGTTAGAAGATAGAGTTTAAAATCCCCTTAAAACATGACATGGAATTATTTCTGTAGATGGCCGGTCACTATGTGGTCAATATATAGGTCAAAACTGACCCTTTCCGGACGTTACAACCTTTAGTTTAACTTTAGAGAAATACATTTTAATGTTCTGATGGCATGATACCATTTCCTGTCAAGTTTACTAATATTACTGCATATTACATAGATTTGTATTTTTTTTTATTAATATTGAGAGGAACAACTTGGAAATGTCGGTGTTTATTTTGGTATTTTCCAATAATTTTTTATATTATATATTATTTATTATTCTTATTGTTATAGAAACAATCATAAATATAGCTTTATTGATGCAGAATGTGATGTGATTTATTTATAACTCAGCTGAGAATTTCTTGAATGTGTTGTAATATGCCTTTTACAACAAAATGCATGAAAATGAATAACATATATCTTCAAATAAACAGAAAAGTAATAAAATAGTTTTTTTTAGCCCTGCCAATTTGTTGTTATTATTTTCTCCACACAGAACCCATAATGAGATCCACGGTGGATCGAGAACTCTTTAAATAGTTGGTCTCCAATCTTAAGTTGAACACACCACACTCAATAAACAAATGTAGGTATCTGGAGTCATTGTGTGCGCTCCTGGCAAACAATCTGCTGGTTGTATTAAGTTTAAATTTTTTACCTGTTCTTTAGAATTCTGAGATGAATGTAACATACATTACTCTTGATGGTCATGTGGAGGTGGAAAAATACCGGTTCCTTTATTTTGTCATCATGCTTATAGCATATATTTTAATTTTGTGCAGCAATTTTACCATTGTTTATCTCATTGTGGTTCACAAAGATCTTCACGAGCCGATGTATGTATTTATTGCTGCTCTGTTGATCAACTCTATTCTTTTGAGCACGGTGGTCTATCCAAAACTCCTGATTGACTTTCTATCAGAAAAACAGATCATATCTTATCAAGCCTGTCTCTTTCAGATTTGTGTTTATTACGCTATAAGTGGTTCAGAGTTCTTACTGTTGGCAGCCATGGCCTATGACAGATATGTGTCCATATGTAAACCTCTGCATTATCCAACAATCATGAGAAAAGCCACTGTGATCATTTTGCTGGTTTTATCCTGGCTTTTACCTGTTTGTCACACGGCTGTGCCAGTCATAGGAAATGCTCAAACCCAGCTGTGTAGCTTTACTTTGAAAGGTATATTCTGCAACAATTCAATTAACCACCTTTTTTGTGTGAATTCCAGAGCACTGTTAATATTTGGTTTGGTTGTTCTGTTCAATATTAGCTTGCTTCCTTTGCTGTTTATACTCTTTACATACACAATGATATTCATAACAACTTATAAAAGTTGTGGACAAGTCAGAAAGAAGGTTGCTAACACTTGTTTACCTCACCTGCTGGTCTTAATAAACTATTCTTGCTTGTTTACCTTTGAAATGACTATAGTTAGACTGGATTCTGATATTGCAAAGACAGCACGTTTTGTTATGGCAATACAAATGATTACTTGCAATCCTCTTTGCAATCCAATCATATATGGAATAAAAATGAAAGAGATATATAAACACCTCAAAAGACTGCTCTGTCAAACCAAGGTACCGTAATGTTTGCATCTCTGAAGCTGAACACATGAATGACAGCTGTCCAGCTTATCTCCAGTGATCTGATTCTTATCTAAAGACTTTGGGAGGAATTTAACGACAACTACCTTCATTCATGGATGCAGACAGGGAACACCTGCATACACTGATTAGGACATACTTTTCATTAGGAGGTTTTCTGTCATCTAGCCTCTGGACACAACCCTGAGGCTTCACATAAGAAAAAAACAAAAGTGACATTGATGTTGCATTTTTTCTTGTAGAAAAGCTGCAAAGATATGGAATAGTACATGGATACAAACTGCAGCTGTTCAGGTGCATACATGAGGAATTTGTTGTCACTCAGAATACAGTAACTTTGTTTTTTACTCTTCAGAGGTTTTACTGTTGGCATGTGTACAAATGTAAACCCATATGTTATCCAACAATCCAAAGAAAAGCAACTGTGATCATTTTTCTGGTTTTAACGTGGGTTTTGCCTGTTTGTCACATGACTGTGCCAGTCATAAGGAATGCTCAAACCCAGCTGTGTAGCTTTACTTTGAAAGGTGTTTCCTGCAACAATTCAATGAACTTTTTTATTTTTTTATTTCCAGAGCACTGTTAATAATCAGTTTCATTATTCTGGTAAATATGAGCCTTCTTCTTTTTAAAACTCTACATAAACAATAATATTCATAACATAAGACAAGTCAAGAAGAAGGTTGCCAACACCTGTTTACCTCACCCGCTGGTTTAATAAACTATTCTAGCTTGATTACTTTTGATATGATTATAGTTACAGTTAGGGTTAGTTGATTTTACAAAGACTGGATGTTTGGTTTGACAATACAAATGATAACTTGCAGTCCAATATGATATGCAGTAAAAATGAAGCAGACTCATAAAAACCTAAAGAGGCTGCTTTGTCAAGCAAAGGTACAGTAATGCGGTAATTTAACCAATGCCGTGAGTAAGATACATGTGCACATAGTTGAACTTTAACATATTCTGTTCCTTAATGTTTTTCCTTGCATTAGTACATTTTTAGTTAGTGTCTATTAAGATATTTGACCAAGCCAGTAGTTGCCAGTGTTGAGACCCAGGTCCTCCAGCTAAAGTCCCCCTTGAACTCAGAAATTAACAAACATTCATTTCCTTTGCTTGTTTGTTTTCATATTTTTCTCAACATTAAAAATAAATAAAAATTAAAATTCAGTGTGATTCCTTTTATTTATTTATGTGTTGGTTTATATTTTTCAGCCTGCAGTTAAAAATATTAGAGCAAATGTAAATGTAAACTACAACTGCAAGGAATCAATGGATTCCAAGCCAACCTATGCCATAGGGAGCAACCCCGGTTTCACACTGGAAGCAGCAGTGGCGCGAAATGGCAGTGGAAAAGTTTACTCGAGAACTTTAAAGCAGTCCTTTTCACACCGGGAGAGTCTTGCCCGCGGCACAACTTCTTCGCTGTGTTCTTCACTGGACTTGCGAGATCACAAGAACCCTCGAGACTTCAAAAGTCACAGTTTGTTTATTAAATCTGCCATTAAACCAAAGAGAAGGAAATCACGTTTGATTTCGCTGTTTGATGTTGTATATGATGTTGTTCCTCTCCACTGCTAGGAAAAAAAGCCATGAAAATCACACCGCTGCACTTAAAGGGACAATACTGGGAATAAATAAGTAGTTGGGTCACACGTAAGCTACATATACTGAACAAAAATATAAACGCGCAACTTTTTTGCACCCATTTTTCATGAGCTGAACTCAAACATCTGAAACTTTTTCTACATGCACTAAACACCCACGACTCTCAAATATTATTCTGGAATCTGTCTGCATGTGTTAGGGAGCACATTTCCTTTACCAAGATAGTCTATCCCGCCTCACAGGTGTGGCATATCAAGGGGTTGATTAGACAGCATGAGTAATGTACAGGTGTGCCTTAGACTGCCCACAGTGACAACGGAGTTCTTACCAAGCCCCCATATTTTGGTTCTGGATATGAAGCAAACAAGGAAGCAATAACTGCTGTTCCATGTTCATCCACTAGGGGTCAGAAGTGAGCAAATCCACATTGGCTCCCATGTTAAAAATGAAAATTTCACAGCAGAAATAATCATGTTTACAGCCTGGTCAAAAAAAATATTTTAGGTTTAATAGATCTAGTTTACACTCATGACAACGCTGAGGAGGGTGAATTTTTTGTAACTCTTCTGTTTAAGTTTAATAAAGGTTTAAACATCTGAATCATTAATGAGCATCAGAGTCACATGACTTCAGAGCTAGCTCCGGGGAAAGGCCTCAACCTCACCTTAAAACTGTTCTAACATTTTCAGTCTCTCAAATTAGACTATTAGTTGTGCCATTTGTGCATTCTTGTTTGGATTATTTGTGCAATTGTTGGAAAAAAAATGACTTGCTGTGATATTAATTGCACTAACAAAACTTCCAAGAAGTCTCTGCTTCCTATTTTATAGTAAGTAAAATTATTTTTATGTATTTTATGTCACTGCCGCTCTTGCACTAGCTGAGTTTAGCAAAGTAGCTAGCTAACTACCATTTTAACATGTACTGTTTAATCATGAAATGTAATTTCATGATTTAATCATGAAATGTAATTTTTTACTGTGTGGGCTCGTTCCGACGCCCACAGAGTAAAAAAGATGCACATAACGTCATTGGCAGTGAATGGCTGGATTTTAAATGACGAGTTTTGTCGTCAATGGCAGTGAAGGAGTTAATGGCCAGCTCCATAAGCAGGGAAAGACTTTCAAGTAGGAGTCTTGGTGCTTTCAGCATGTGCATTTCCTGCTTTTTCCATCAGTGATATTGCTAATTCTGTTGAAGAAAATTCACTGTTTAATGAGAGACAGCTGGTGAAAATGATATGTAAATAAGTAAGAATGCATATAGACCTACATAATTAAGCAAAACTGAAACACTAATATAAAGTATATCTATTTTCTTTTCTTCTCCCTTCGAATTTGGGAGGGTGGAACCTCAGCTCCAGCTATGGACGAGCCCCCAGGGGGCCCAACTTGATATATTTTCATGGGGCCCAAAATCTCTGGCAGCCCCCCCTGGGCGCCGGTGGCAGTTCCTCGTGGACTGAATGCTCTTGGGAGCTTGACACATGCTACAGTGCAACTGTCCAGCCACTCAGTTCGTTCCAGCCTTTAGCTTGTCAGGATGACTGAATCTACTACCATGGACACAGCAGAGTTCGAACGTCTGCGGGCTTAAGTTACCCAGCACCGCGCGGTGGTGGATCGGTGGGGGACCAAGTTAGACTCTCTGACTGACATGGTCCTGCAGCTGTCCATTGCCCTGACCACTCTCCAGCGGCAACAGCCTACCGCTAGGGACAAACCACACTTTGGGCTCCCAGAGTGGCTCCAGAGGTAGCCCCGATGGGCTGACATGATGTTTGAGTGCCAGCCAACCGGATATGCCACCGCCAGATCTCAAGTGGCCCTTCTCACGTCTCTCCTCATTGGCCACACACAGGAGTGGGCTGCCGCCCTCTACAACAAGTCCCCGGCCTGGAACGACGAGGCTCAACTCCTCAAGCTCCACCAGGGGAGACACTCTGTGTGCCACTACATCTCAGAATTTTGAACGGTGATGACCAAGCTCCAATGGGGAGATGGGGCCTTCAAGGCGGTCTTCACCCAGGGGCTAGCACCCTACATCCACGACGACATAGTGGGGCAGGAGACGCCAAGGACGCCAAGGTAGATGCTGGGAGCATTCTGCCTGGCTCATTTCCATCTTCTCCCACTAAACGATTCCTTCTCAAGGTCACCCTCCATCTGAATGAGAACCCAGTCACCGTAGACGCACTGCTGGATACCAGAGCTGCGGACAACTTCATTGATCAGCAACTCGTCTCCCGCCTTCGCATTCCCATTACCACACTGGACTACATCGTCCCGGTCACATCTGTAGATGGCCGGCCACTCCATCTCTTCCTAGTCCAGTGCCAAACCATGTCTGTTCAGATGAGCGTGGACGAACATCATGTGTCTGTCTGCTTCCAGGTCATCTCGGTCCCGCCACTCATCCTAGGCTGTCCCTGGTTCAGCCAACATGGCCCCCACATCTCCTGGTCCACTTGCCGCCTACTGCAATGGGGCCCCCATTGCGCTGCTCATCAAACCCAGGCCCCCAACCTCGCCACCACCAAGACCAGCACTCTGCACCTTGACCTGTCTGAAGTCCAAGAAAAAGAAGGCCACCTCACTCTCACCGCACTGACCCTATGACACGGAGATCAAACTCCAGTCTGGCACTGTTACGTTTTACCTTCTTCAGGGAGGGGAAACCAGGGAGGAAAGAAGTAACTTGTGTAAAGAAAAACAAATTTATTAAAACATTAGAGGATAACACAAAACCAAGGGCTGGAAATCCTAACAGAAATACACTAACACAGCCCATAAAACTCAGAGAGTCCAATGTTCATATAAAATAAAGCAGGAGACTAAGGCTCAGATATTTTAACTGGCAGCACCAAAAGAAAACCATTCAGACCTAAGTGTCCAACAGGATGTTAAAGATGTGGGATGGATTAACTAAAAGACTCAGGGTTATTTCCAAAACCTAAAGAAGCTTTCACCTTCTACATAATAATTCAGCAAATTAACCACAAAAGACTCTCAAACTCTAACAGAGGCCACTGTAGTTCTTTTATCAAGAGAAATTACTACACCCAAAGAGAGACTTAATAAAAGCTGAGGAATTATTTTCTTTCAAGATGTTTGAACTTCTAAAACCCTGAAACCAGCCCACAGGGAGTCTACTTGGTTACAAGTAGCTCCTAGAATGAAAGTTCTTCCAGCCTTTTATCCTTTCCAGATCCAGAGAAAACGATTAGTCCAATTGCTTCCACCTGAAGAACTGAGGAGGGATCCACTGGTGATGAGGCTGCCGGTGCGCATTGTGGTTTCCATGGTTACTGGACAACAGCATGGAGGCAGCCATCTTGTCTCTGGGTCTGGTGTTGTCACTCCAAAAGAAAACAAAACAATGGGAAGAAAACTACCAAAACAGGGGAACAAATTCTGACTAAATAGTAATAATAATAATACGACCAACCATCGTAAAACCCAGGTGTCGTAACAGGCACCAGCCCCATTTCCCCATTTCCGCATTCCTGTGGCAACCTGCCCCCCAATTTTATTTGCACCTTATACACTTCCAATGACAACATTCCACACAAACACACACTTAGGGCCTTGGGAGTGAGCACATTTAACAGCATTTGGCAGGGGGATATCTCAGCCTCCTCCTGGGTGCCGGTGCCCACTCCCAATTTTAAACCGCACTTAGACACTGATGGCTGAGGTTGTAAGTGGGGTGGTGTGGTGGCATCAGCTGGCATAGGCCGGACAATGACCGCACTGCCCGCTCACCACAGCCATGGAATACACCTCATGATCACACAACACTATATTGGAGCAGGCGGAGGGAGACTAGGGGTCTTAGCCACCTCTGTTGTTGCTTGGCTTCCTGGGGCTGGAGGCTAGGAGGGAGATCTGGCCGTCTGGTTGGGGCCTGGGGTGGTAGGTTGCTGTGCTTAGCGTTGGGCGGGGAAGCCTGCTCATCAGCACCCCAGCAGAAAGGGTCAAACTCTGGTTACCGGTGATGGTTGTACCTAGTGTGCAGCAGTACCGGGACCAGAGTGAATAGGGTGTGTATGGGGAGCATGAGTGGGTGTCCGGCGTGCATTTTTGTAAGGCTTGGGTTATATGTGCATGTGTGAGCATGAGGGAGGGAGTGTGTGACTGTGTTTGTGTATGATTGTATATGTCAGGTGGGGCCTTTGACTCCTCCCCTCTCCTGGAACCTCTCTTGATGATATAGATCTTTGTCCCCCCTCCCCCTGCCACACCTGGTCTGAGGGGTTGTGCCATGGTCTGCCTGAGTGTTCGTGGCAACCGGGTCTGGGGGTTCTAGATTTTGGCATCTGCCTGATAGATCCCGGTGGCTGCCTGGTGGGGTCTGGGTCCCTAGGCTCTGCTGGGTCCCCGGCGGGGGTGGTCGCCCCTGGGTCCCGGGTCGCTGGGTCCCGGGCTCGGCCGGCTAGGGGGTGGGAGGCTGCGGGCGGGCCTTTGGGCTTGCCGCTGATGTCTCCCGGGACTCTGCCGGCTGCTGGTTGTGGCCCCCCGGGGCGATCCTCTGTGCCTCTCGGGGGGGCGGGGGCCTTCCTGGGTGCAGTCTCCTTGGGGTTCCTGTGTTCTGGGGCAGCGCCTGGATCTCTGGGACTTGGAGCTCCCCTGTCTCCTGCGCATCTTTGGGGGGCGGATCTGTGGTCCCTCACACTCTCTGTTGGACGCTCCTATAGAGAAACCTTACATAAACAAGCGCGTGTACACACACAGGTGCTCACATGGTGCTCTCAAAAGTATGGGCTTGGGCACGTTAAACACAGGTCTTAAGACTATGGTGGGCACTTAATGCACTGTGATTTATTATCGTGATTCTTCAGTTAAGCAATGCATTCAACAACAATAACAATAAAGTGATAGCTAGCTCTTGTTGTATTGTTGTTGTGTCCCTTTTTTTTGTTTTCTATTTTTCTGCAGGTCTAGAAGCAGACTCTTGTTCATTGTTTATTTTTGTGGAACCCCCCCCCCCCCCCCTCTCCCCACCTTTTCTTTTCCTTTCTCTTTCACCT